TATTTTCAGTCTTTCCCTCCCAGCTTTCCCTTCCTTTTGACTTGTGCTACTGAAGCCAAGTAAATTCTCAGAGATCTATTGAGATGGTTCTGAGCTGACAGGAGGTGGATCAAAGCTGTGTGGTTGAATAACTCCAGAGCTGAGCAGCAAAGTATTTTCCCACAGCACACACAGAAAGAAGCGAGAAGTCCCTTGAGGACTGGCAGAAGAGGGAAACAAGTAGTAGGGAGGAAGAAGCTGAAGGAGAATAAATGACTGGAATTCTTTCCATCAAGACTGTCCCTCTGGTTAGACTAGAGGAAGCAGCTGGTTTCTCGAGTTCTTCTCTTTGATTCCTACCATGGCTCTACAATTTGCCTCAAGATTTGGAAATCTGATCTTTCATCCCATTTTAAGGCATGACAGCCTATGGGAATCTGAACCAGAATCTTGTGGGTAGTTAATGATAAAATAAAGCTAGACTTCTATTTGTGTGGCACCTTGATGCAGGGCTGTCAAACTCCTGGCCCGTGGTCCGGATGCATCATGCACTGGCCACACCCAGGCCCGGTTTAGCGAAAAAAAGGGAAAAAGTCCAATACATCATGTGATGACGCCATGAGTTTGACACCCCTGCCTTAATAGGACAATGTTTCATTTTCTTAGTGATGAAATTTTATTGAGTTCACAGGCAAAGTGTGCATAGGATTTATTTTTCCATCCTATGATGTTCAAGGAAGTATCTATGTGAGCTACTCTTTATCGCTGCGGGTAGAAACCATTTGGGATGATAGCCCTGTCTTGGAATTTGTAATGCTTGTGTTCTAAGAAGCACCTCCTAATAAATTATACATATAACTACTGTCCATTGCGGAAGGTCTAACAGGAAATCTACTAGATCAGATGGATTCATCACTAGTGAGATTCAATGTTGAGTTTCTGGAAACCACACCTTGTCTACTGGTCATTGTGCTGCCGCTAAGCTATGACCATTTACTCAGCCCATAGACATAGTTATAATTAAAAAAACTTGTTTCACATAATCTGGTATAATGAATATTATCTATTCATAGTTCTGGAGATATGAGTCATGGGCAATCATATTTATAAAAAGTCTCTTGACCATTTCGCTTCTAAAATGAAGGCTGCAAGACTGACTAGCAGCCTCAGTTGTATACACACATGAAGCATTCTGCACATGTCCCAAAGTACAGTTTATATTATCTGGAGTAGCATATGGGCAGAGGGAACAGACTCTGGAGGACTTGCCAGAACGTTATTTATGAATGTGTAACTCATTTCACTTAACAGTACTGCAAGTGGTGTTCAAACACAACCTTGGCAACCAGAGCAATAACAGCATCCAAGTCATTTCAGAACCACAGCTGGAAAGATCTCAGTCTCTGCATTTTAAAGTGCTGTTGGCACACTGCAATATTAAAAGATGATTTGCTGTTCATATTTCATGTAGTGTTTCTGGGATAACTATATCTGGGCTGCAAAAATTCTTACAGTCAGTTGATCCGACAAACAAGATAAAAAAAAACTCTCTTTGCTGTCGTGTAATAGTCATCCAGATTTTTGCAATCCACATATAATAGCTCTACTTTGCCACGCAGTGAATCAGTGTATTCAACTCTGCACTCGTTCCTCCTTTTTTCTCTGTTGCTGTTAGTGTTTTAGTTCATAAGCTGAACATGATACTGTGTTTCATTAAAGGAACAATACTTCTCATAATTGTTCTGCCCATTGCAAAATTAAAGCTGTTCTATTTCTCCAAATTCATTATGAGTAGCTGTGAGAGGGTTTTTTAAAAAGTTTTTTAAGTCATGAATTTGTCCTACTACATGTGTCATTGCAAGCATGTTTATATATTTAAATGCTGGTACAGCTTTTTGTTTTATGCTACATTTTTTTGCTCAGAAATTTATTATTCTTTCCAGAGAGGAAACATTCCCACCCATCTGTTAGAAAAATAATCCTCTGCTATAATTTAACTAGTCACCTATTTTCCTTTTGTAAAATATATTAGTCATGTATTTTTCTCAAATCCTGAATAATTGCCATGATGTGGTCAAAATTGTACGATAAAGGCACAAGGCACGACGTGATTAGAGGTACCTCAAACTTTGCACTAACATTCTTTATGGGAAGAAATGGGGTGGGTGGACAGTAAGAAGGCTAGGAGAGGTAAATAGAAAATATGGATGGATTAAAAGAGAGAAGCTGGTAGCTTTTAAGATTGCAGAGCCCAAAATTGTGTTGATGGTCCAATTTATACAGATAGTCTTCAACGTACGGCCACAATTGAGCCCAGAAGTTATGATGTTAAGTGAGAAATTTGCGAAGTGAGTTTTGTTCCCATTTTACAACTTTTCTTGCCATGTTTGTTAAGTGAATCATTGGTTAAGTGCAGTTGTTAAATTAGTAACATGGTTGTTAAGTGAATCTGGTTTCCCCATTAACTTTGTTTGTCAGAAGGTCACAAAAGATGGTCACATGACCCCGGGACACTACAACTGTCATAAATATATGACAGTAGTTGTCAAGCATCCAACTGTAAATCACATGACCATGGGGATGCTGCAATGGGAATAAGTGTGAAGAATGGTCATAAGTCAATTTTGTAACTTCAAATGGTCGCTAAATGAACTGTTGTAAGTCAAGGACCACCTGTACTGCCAGATATAAGGGTCAATAGGAGGACATTGTGCATCTGGCTTTCTTTCTGTTGCTTGGCAACAAACAGCCCTCTAGGAATATAATACAGCAGGAGTTCTCACTTGTGTCCAAAACAATTAATTTAGTTACTGCTCCAGGGTTTTAGATCAAATGACCATAATTGAAGCACCCTGTCTTGTGGACAAATTTTCTAACCGTGAAAAATTCCTCATTTGGAATTTTACAGTTCCCAGAGGGGTGGGGGAATCTCCTTATGGGAACAAGGAAGGAGAACAAGAATTTGGGAATCCAGGTTGGAAGGAGGAAAAAGAGTCAGGGTCCACTTTTTTTGTTTTGTTTCTGTTGAGATGGATCCTTTCTGATATTTCATGGAATGCAACAGAACTCTTGTGCTATTAGTTTTGTCAAATCTATTAAAGACAAGATCTCTTTTTTTCCCCTTTACTGTTCCTTCTACGAAACAATTTGCAAAATGCAGATGCTCCTATTTAATCATAAAATAAACCCTGGAATGCAACTTAACAGTTGTCAGTTTTGATATTATTCATCCCCTATACAGAGGAGTTGTAATACAAAGAAAGCCCGAGTTTTATCTTCTAGTGAAGGAATTGGGACTCCTCCATTGTTAATGTCTTTTTTGTCTTGCAGCTGAATTCTGTTTTGACATGGAAGTCTACAGAATTGTCCAGATTTATTTATCCATCTCCAGGAATGTTTTGCGATTAGCTGAGCAAAAATGAATTACAGCAGCATAATAATTGCTGCCCTGTTCTCAACTGGTGCTGATGGCAACTTCTGATGATGGGTGGAGATTGCCAGCTGGCAGCCATTTACAACACACTGCTGCACTGCAGTGTGTTTGCAACCTGCTTGCCAAGATGTGGCACTGTGCCACTGGATTTACTGCTGGTATGACTGTTGTATGATTTGTAGCCTCATTGAATTTGGTTGGTAGGCAAGTATTTAGCATACATATCCTTTGTAAGGGACTGCAGAGCTCTTCCTGTTTCTATACAATTATACATGGACGGCCTTGTTTAGTCCTCTAGCTGTTTCCTTGTATTCTTATCATTCATACAAAGGGTGTAGCTCCGTTGTGTTCTTTATTATAAGCATAGTAATCAGTCTGAGATTTAATGACATGCTAGAAAGAAAAGGGATGTTTGAGAACCTATGGAGTGTTGTTAAGCCTGTATGCAAAGCTGTCTTCTAAATTATAAACTTGAACGTCTATGGAGATTCTCAGTCATTCAGGTCATAGTTGTCCCAAAGGTGCTTTTTCAAGAGGCAGCAACTGGACTTCCTGGTTTTTCTTTGAAGACATTTCGCTTCTCATCCAAGAAGCTTCTTCAGCTCTGATTGAATGATGGGAAATGGAAGGATTTATATTCCTTGCAGACAGCTGATCATTTGCATTCTTTGAAACTTGAATCTTGTTCTCACTGAACATTCAAGTTGGTACCTGTGTTACATTTTATGCTGTTTGGGAAGGCTTGCATGGTGGATTGGTTACCTATGTAGAAAACTGAAGCACACTTCTCTATTCATTTAAAATCTTAAGCATTGTTGTTGTTTTTTTTTAAAAAAAATCTCATTTGAAAAAAACATGATGATCTCAGCAATCAGTGTATACTTCTGTTTATGCATTTATGTCACTCCTTAACAGGAACTTCACTGGCTATAAAGCCGAATGGAACTGTAACCCACAGAAATGTTCTACCTTTGTTGAATTGCACCATCATTAATAGGAATTTTCCTGAGTGCCCAGAGACATTTGTATGATTCTAGAAGCCAAGAAATGTGACTGTGTGAGAAGAGAGAAGAACTGTGCTTTGAAAATAGAAAAATGGCAGGGAGCCATTCTTTCTTTCCCCAATTTTTAATTTTATGTTAAAGAGAATATTTGGCTTTATCTGGTAAGAAAATTGGAATGATTCTGGCAAAGTTGTAAGAGATTGTCTGGTTGATTAAGTGCCAAGTCAGTGCTGATTCTTATTTTTAATTATGTCTTTGCGTCACCTCTCTGATACTCAAGATATGACTGGGTTCAATATATTTGTCACATGTATTGGAAAGACTAAATAGATTTTTTTTCCCCTCCTTAAAGAACTGCATGTTTTTACATAGACACCATCTGTCTTTTACTGCCGGAAATGACCCGACCCCTTGCAGAAATAATTTTGATAAAGGCATGAAATAAAAAAAAAGCTATGACTTTTTGTAGTTTGTAATCCTATTTCTATTTTTTCCCATAGTTCAAATTTAGGTTTTGTTTCTGTGAGCTGCTTTGGACACTCTTCTCATTATACAAATTCATGAAAACAAAATTTAAGATTAATATGATCTTTTTAAGTAACTGAATTTTCTTTTCCAGATCCTGGGTGCTGTCATCCTAGGTTTTGGAATATGGATTTTGGTGGACAAAACAAGCTTCATTTCAGTTCTACGTAAGAAAATTTTTAAGTTTCCTATTGATTCATGTATCGTTTTCTTGCCTTTGAAAGTAAATTACAAAAAGAAGTACTGTACATCTGAAGAACAGCCCATCTTTAGATATAAGTCCAAAGCAGGGATGGCTTCCTGCTAGATTTAGAAAAGCTTTCTAGAGCTAAGCAGCTTTTTTGTGTGAGGCTACAGCAGGTCAGACCAAGGGTATTATCCTTGAAAAATTCTTTTCATCATCATTTTCATCCCTTTTAGCAGAAATGTGAGGATAGTTTTGAGAAGTTAGCAGATTTTTATAATGATTTAAAAAGAAGATATTTTTCCTGTTAAGTTTGCACTATTTCTGCTTTCTATATTTGCATATCTAACTATTCTTAATTGGATCACTTCTGCAATGTTATGTATAAAGAAGAATTAGCCAGACACAAAAATGGCAAGTTGAATTAAGATGTGCCTCCCTTTAATACTCATCTACAGTTTTAAACAGTAAAAAAAGAATTGGAACATGACCTGGCTTTCTCTTGTGATCTGTAAACCAAATGTTTATAATTCTATAGGCTAGGCAGATCAAAGAAATGCAGTTATTGTTACTGTGTTCTTGTAGTCTTTAATATAAGAGCACTCTTTTTTAAAAAAAGTTTTCTTCTATTTTGTAATCAGATTGTGCATGCAGAGATTCCTGTTTCCTTCCCAGAGATTTCCAGATGGACTCTTTTTTCCTTAACTCTCTTGTTTCCTCCTCCTCCTTTTTCCCTGGTAACCGTAACAGAGAGTTTGGGAAGGAACTTGACACAGCAGGGCATTCCATTCTGTTGCCAAAAAGGCCTCCCTCTTGTGCTAGTCTGGAATTTTTCCCAAGGAAAAAAAAGTGGAGGAAAAATTGTGCAAGAGGGAATAGAAATTAGTAGCCTTATGCCAGCAAAGTCTGGGAATTTTGTTTCTCGGAAAACCAGGAACTGCTACAGATCAAGAGCCCAGTTGAGGCAGTGGTCTTGAAGGCTCTGCTTAGCCTGCTTTCTTAAAAAGGCAGCAGCATTTGATGGGACAAACTTGTCAAAGTGTGTAGAATTTCCATCTGGGTGCTGTTCTAAAGCTGAACATCTTAAAAACAGAACATTACTGAATATTTCACATGTGTTTTAAGTCAAAATGGATTATGTAATACTCAGGGGTGGGATTCAGCTAGTTCGCACCTATTAGGGAGAACTGGTTGTTAACTTTCTAAGCAGTTTGGAGAACCGATTGTTGGAAGAAATCTTACTTTGTTTTTTTCCACTTTACAGGGCTAATCCTGTAAGGAAGGCAAGAAGGAAACATTCTGGTGTTTCTACCCTAATCTTTATTGCCCTGCTTACAGAAACTGCCTCTCCGGTTAACCCTTATTATATTGTAAAGCTAAGCCTAAGCACCCATTGACATGAGTGACATTGACTTGGCCATGTCCTCCCGGTCACATGCCCACCGAGCCATGCCTACCCAGCTGATCATTAGGGCAGAGAATCGGTTGTTAAATTATTTGAATCCTACCACTGGTAGTACTCGTATCAAATTTTGAACTGGATATTATATCAACCCCAGGCAGCATGGCTTGGGGATACAACAGTGGTCATCCAAACATAAGTCAATAAGAATTTATCACCAAGTAAAATCTGGAAAAGACATGCCAACTTCTAACCAACTTCTAACATGGCTAGTAATCTTTTCTTGTTTTATTAAAGTCTAAGAAGAACTAAGTTAGCTAATCTTGGTTTTCCCACAAGCAAACCTACCAATTGGGACTTATGTTTTCACTTCCCTATATATTTCCCACTGTAATGCCTTTTCATCCTTTCCCCATCTTTCTGGGTCAATTCCTCTCTCTCTCTCTCGACCATTCTTTTAAAATACAGCTTTGTGTATTTTCTCACTATCACATGACCAATAAGTGAGTGCTCAGTTCCCAGCGCAATGTAACAGGATTTAGTTGTTTGTTGTCCAGTGCTTTGATTTCTTGGCTACAGAACTTAAAGCAGAGTGCTTTATCTCTCTTGAACAATTATCTTGCTTTGCTGGAACATAATAAATGTGCATCTGTTATATGTAGTTCCCCCCCCCCTCCTTGGGTTTCCACAGAGACCTCATCATCAACTACAAAAGTTGGAGCATACATTCTTACTGGAGTAGGAGCTCTCACCATGTTAATGGGGTTCCTGGGCTGTGTTGGAGCGGTCAATGAGATTCGCTGCCTCTTGGGACTGGTAAGCAGTACATATATTTTTATTTTATCTATTTATGTACTTTGTCAAGCATGTGTAAGATAACAGATATAAGTATAAGGATACATGAAATGGATATGAATAAAAAGAAACATTAGGACAGGGACCATAGGCACGTTAGTGCGCTTATGCACGCTCCCTTACAGACTTCTTAGGAATGGACTGAGGTCAACAGTAGACAGTCTAAGGTTAAAGTTATGGGGATTTGGGGATGAAATCACAGAGTCAGGTAGAGCATTCCAAGTGTTTACCACTCTGTTGCTGAAGTCATATTTTCTGCAATTGAGTTTGGAGTGCTTTACCTTGAGTTTGCTCATGTATTGTTGTGGTTGATGCTGAAGTAGTCATTGACAGGTAGCACATTCTAGCAGACCATTTTGTGTACTACACTCAGGTCAGACCAAAGGCGGCGTAGTTCTAAGTTGTCTAAGCCCCAAACTTGAAGGTCCAATTTGAAAACTCTTTGATGATTACGATGTTGCTGTTTGTTTATGAATTCTTGTTGACTTGTTAGGTTTTCCATATTTGTATTTGCCATCTTTATTTTTAAAGAAGGTGACAAAACAGTGTGTCTCTCCCATATTCATTCCCGATTGCCAAAATTGCCCCGTCTTTAATTGTGGGAATGGATCTTACAGTAGAGGCAGAAGGCTGCAATCTCACCCAGGAATGTCTTCCATCTCTTGCTGTCTACCAGCAAGCTTCTCTTCCTCTAGAGAAAGACTGAAAGTCTGGGATGTTCAAGGAGGATGGAAAAGATCAGTAAAGACTCTTGCACTATTTCAGACCTGTTCAGCTACCCTGTCTACCCTGTCTGTGCCAGATTTCCATTAAAACACCTCATGGAAGCAAGCTTAGCAAATTCTGTTAGCTTATTGTGCTCAGACAGGCAGAAAATGGAAATAAATCTCCTCCTGATGCATCAGCAGATACTCACCAGGCTCCTGGCAAGAAAGCATTCTGGCTTTATAGCTGAAGCTTCCTATTGCATCTGGTTGTACTGTCTTCCATAGGAACCTCCCCCAGGAAGAACTTCACCTGTGGGGTGGTACAGATAGTCTTTGACTTATGACCACAAGTAACCCCAACATTTATGTTGCTAAGGGAGACAGTTGTTTAAGTCAGTTTTGCCCCATTTTACGACCTTTCTTGTCACAGTTGTTAGGTGAATCACTGCAGTTGTTATGTTAGTAACACGATTGATAAATGAATGTGGCTTCTGTGTTGACTTTGCTTGGTCACAAAGGGTGATCATATGATCCCAGGACCAGAGGTGATCTTCAGCAGGTTCTGACCAGTTCTGGAGAACCGGTAGAGGAAATTTTGAGTAGTTCGGAGAACCAGTAAATACCATCTCTGACTGACCCCGCCCCCATCTATTGTCTGCCTCCCGAGTCCCAGCTGATCAGGAGGGAATGGGGATTTTACAGTATCCTTCACCTGCCATGCCCACCCAGCCACACCCACAGAACCGGTAGTAAATTTTTTTGAATCGAATCACTGCCCAGGACACTGCAGGTGTCATAAGTATGAGTTGGTTGCCAAATATCTGATTTTTATTCATGTAACTATAGGGATGCTACAATGGTTGTAAGTATGGAAAATGGTCATAAGTCCCTTTTTTCAGTGGTGTGGTAACTTTGAATGGGCACTAAACTAACTGTTGTAAGTTCAGGACTATCTTTATAGCAAGTACTAATGTCACAAATATGAGAAACACTCTTGATTTATTTTGCAGTATTTTACCTGCCTGTTGCTGATCCTCATAGCCCAAATAGCTGCCGGCCTTCTGATCTATTTCCAGAGGAATGCAGTAAGTGACACTTTTCTTTCCCAATTTCATATCCCTGTTTCCTTGCTGAAGTTGAGTTTTTGTTGTTCTGATTCTTATGAATTTCCAAGTAATGTCTTAAAAACAAGATTTAGACATGCAGCTTTTCAGCAAGTATCACTATGAAGTCATTGTTTTTTTAAAAAAATACTCTAACTCTTCCAATCTGACATTCTTCATTTAGGTTGGGATTGCTGCCATTCTTTGTAATTTGCATGAAGTAATAAAATAAATTTAGTGTTTTAATGTTAGTATCTGATTTGTTCCTGATTAGATGGATATCTGTGTGTGTGTGTGTGAGAGTGAGTGAGAGTGAGTGAGAGAGAGTGAGAGTGAGAGTGAGAGAGAGAGAGAGAGAGGGAGAGAGAGAGTGTTATGTCAAAGCACCTGATACCCAAATATGTAGGTGTGGCCTGCTCTCCGGGTCCACTGGTGGAACCTCTTCTAACCGGTTCGGCAGATTTGACGAACCGGTTCTACTGAATAGATACGAACTGGTAGGAACCCGCCTCTGGAGAGAGCATACTGCTTCCCTTTTTCCTTTCAACTCCACTCTAGGAGCCTTCCAGGCAGAAAACCATTTTTGTGTTGCATTTGTGCTGGTAAATAAATAAAGGGAGACTAGTATAGATCTATCTAAATAGGTTGAAATAGATCTATACTAGTCTCCCTTTATTTATTTATCAGCACAAATGCAACGTACATACATACATACATACTGTACACGCACACACGCACACACACACACACACACACACACATCAGATAATCTGATTCTTTCTGTTACAAAATTTACAACAGCAAAAATTACAGAACTGTAAATATTAGCTGTGAGTTAACCAAAATGGATTTTTCTGGTTTATGGGTTGTTGTTTTTTTACATTTTTGAATTTCTTAATAAGTAATTAGGAAAATATTTAAGAAAAAAAGCATGTAATTTTATTTAGGGGGTTTTGAATTCCTGTTTTCAAAACCGCTTACCATCATTCTTAAAATCAGGAACTGAGAATTAAATAGCAAATAATAGAAAGAAAAGAAAAAAAAGAAGCAGAGTGTAGACACCAACTAACTATAAATACTTTATAGAATTTAAGGAGCGTTTTTTCAGTAGCTAATTTTTGTTAATCACCTAGAGTTTAATAATGATTAATTGCTCAAATCTTCCTTTGCTTAAAAGATATACCAATAAGGTGAGAAATAATGGATAACTAGTTTATTGCTTGTTATATGCATTGGACAAGAAATCTGGATAAACATGAATAGAAATACTGGGCCTACTTTGACTATTTATTACATGCTTTAAGTATTTTCCATTAAAAGTAATACAAGTTCAATTCAGCAAGCCAGTGAAATTATAAAAAATTCAAATTTAAAATTCAAAACTGTACAACAGTTGAGACATTAAAACCACTACAGTAAATGAAATCTGAAAACTTTGTGTAAGAAACTTAAATGAAGCAATAGCAAAAGTTTAATTTGGGCAAAAAACTAGGTTTCTAGATGAAGTAAAAGTGGAAAAAAATTCACTGCAGGAATGAATTAAAAAAAGAATAGAATGTGCAGGCTTGAAATATGTGAATAAAGCATTCAGACCACTTTTTTCTCTTATGATATGCTTCTTTCCACTAACCCGCTTCTTGGAAAGAACCTCTAATTTTTGGTTTATAATCTTAGTAATATCTGTACCCATTTTTGCTATTTTGAGATTTAGTATATGGCTTGTGTAGAATTTAAATTTCCAAACAAGAAAGAAAATGAATTTTGCCTTTAATGTCCAGAGGTTACAAAAGACCAGGAAAAATGGGATGCCATTTCACTTACTCAGCTACAAAACTGTCTTTCAGATTCTTGAACGTTGAGTTTACATTTTAATGTAAATTTAATTAACTTGAACTTTGCAAACCATGAGAGGAAATAACAGTATATTTCAGTTGTTACACTTGTATGGATGTTGTGCAGCAACCTCTAATAAAGAAAAAAAATAAAATATTAATCAGAAAAGCATACAAAAATCTCAATAAAAACTGCTCTGATGCAAAACTTGCATATGAAATACATACAATTGTTTTTAAAAAATGTACTAATTTTTCTAAACCCATTTTTGCAAGATAATGTGTAATGGCGATAATAACATTAGAACCTAAGAGTAGTCATACTTAATCTTTAGTTTAAATTGAAGACAATTGTATATTGTCCCCACCCTTCCTCCCAATACCTTAACTTACAGAAGTCAATGTGGCAATACAGAGTAATGAGTTTAAGTATGTGTGTAGTCTAGTCAGGACAACTTTCAATAAGGTGTAATGTTTGAAAAAGTGAGCGGTCATTGGCAACTTCTACTTGTGGAATATGGGAGGTTTTGCACAAATTTGTTCCTGGCAGTAGAGTGTAATTGCTTCTATCACTCATTCCCCCCCCCCCCCCGCCCATCAAGGTTTTGGTTTTCGCATCTGTGCAGTAAAGATGGAAGGCTACATGTGTTTCTTCAGGCTTGCTTTAATAACAGGGATAGATGAAGCCTTGTTTTTCTTCTTCTTTTGCCTATTGTGGGGAAACCTCTGAGGGAACTAAATGGAGATTCTGTTGGCAGGAGAGGTTCAAAATACCAGACTCTGTTCTTCTTCCCAGTATTCTGGATTATGAAAATAGACTAAGTTTCAACTATAATGTGACTGTTGGGTAGGAAAGCAGCCATCTGTCCTCTCTTACACTGGGTTGAGTCATATTCCATATTTCTGCATTTAGACTGGAGGAGTTTGCTAAATTCCATATATTGTTTCTTCATTTTCATTCAGAGACATAGAGGCACTTTCCCCCTCTACAATGCTTGCTTTAAAACTTCACGAGTGTCTTTAGAGTTTAGATCTAATGAATTATAAGATTCATTAGTGGATCCCTATTAATCTTTAAACTAACTTTGAATTAAGTTTTCTCCAAGACCCATTTATGTAATTTACACCATTATGCTGCTCTTTGAACCCAGATTCAGTCATACAGTTCTTTAGCCAGTACTCAGTTTGTGTAAATTATTTCCATTTGTTAAAATTGCTGATGGAAGTTCCATTTAATGTAGATTGAAAATATCACAGACTGATATTGCAATGCTGCCTACATATTCATCCTTCTGCCCTTGCTCAGCATTAGGCCTCAGGCCAGCATTAGAGGAAAAGATAAATCTGTGGGTACCTTTCCATGTTCCTCAGAAAATATTTTTCAGGATTAATTTATGTAAGATTTTCGTAGGTTGCCTTAACATTGTCATATGGCAGTAGAAAAGCAACATTTGCAAGTCATCCTGAAAATGAGAATATCCAAACTTCCCAACACTTTTATCATGAAAGGAAAATAAAAGCAATGCAGTAAATGAAAAAAAGGAAATAAAAGAAATTCTGCCATTTCATGCCCATAGTGTCTAACATTAATGCATTTTCAAAAAGCAAATAGTCCTGAGTTTATGTTAATATTGTTAATTTTCCTATGTCTCTCCTGGACAGGAACATGTCCATTATTATGTCCATTATTATAGCAAATTGAAAAAGGAAAAATTCTATGTTGATCAATAACAATAAGTCCCTCTATCTTTAACATGGTGCAATATAACTTTTTAAAAAACCTTGCACAATATTCAAGTAACTATAAATTGCATTCCTTTTCCATTCTTCGGTATACCTTAGTTTTTGACGCTAGTAGACAAAGTAAAAATTGAAAGCATGAACTGCAGTTTGACTTGAACCCAAGAAAGTTAATTTTTAATGGAAACTTTTGACCTTTGTGGTAATTTCCAGTTTCACTAAGAGGAAGTTGTGAAACATTTTACTGTTCTTGTTTGTCATCATCTTTGCAGTTGGCAGATAGTAATCCAGACACTTGTGCCATTCATAGCTCAAGGGATGAGTTTGCATTTTGCTGACTTGATACTTGCTGGGCTCACACAGCAGGAGGTTTCTGCCATTTGCTCAGACATGTGTCCTAAAAACAAAAAGGACAGATGGCTGCCTTCTTCCCAAATATGAAGTAGTTGGCAATATCTTGCAGCAACTCTGTTTTGCAAGAACTTGATTGCTTGTGTTTCTTTCCTTACTCTGTGGCATCCATATTATCTAATTGCCACAATATGAACCCTGTGAGCTTAGTACTCAGCACCAACAGGCTGATATTCATACTTGTTCTGAAAGATACTGATAGAATAGCTAACAATTACATCATCACAGCTTAGACATTGTTTGTAGCCATTGTCCCTTTTCCCTTTGGAACCTTTTGTAAATCCTGCCTTAGCCATGAAAGCCAGCTGATGACTTTGGGCCAGACACTCTCTTTCAGGTTGTTGTTGTGGGGACAATAGGCAGAAGAAATAGCATATTTATAAAAAAACAGCCAAGGTGAGATACAAACAACCAAACAAACTTTAGGCCTATTTTCTGTATTTGACTTCCTAGACTGAGGATCATGTGACTATTTTTTTCAAAGCCATCTAAGATCATCTATTGTTTCAGAAAAAAATATCCCTAAGGCACCTCGAGGGTGACATATTTACCTTTGCCCTGGCTCTACCATTCTCCCACAAAAGGTGGCATCTCTCTGAAGTACTGAACAATGGGGTGATCCAGCAGATTCCAAGAATAGCCAGCATGATAGCAGGCTTAGGTGTCTATCAGGGGCTGTGTGTGTGTATGTGCATGTGTATGTGTGCACGCGTGCATGCATGTGTGTTTATCTGTATAGATTAAAGAGTTGGAAGGGACCTTATAGGTCATCTAGTCCAACCCCCACCAAAGCAGATCTTATACCATTTTTGACAGATGGCAGTCCAGTCTCTTCTTGAAAGCTTCCAATGATGAAGCTCCCACAACCTCTGAAGGCAAACTGTTCCATTGGTTGGTTGCTCTCACTGTCAGAAAATTTCTCGTTATTTCCAGGTTGAATCTCTCCATTATTCCTTGTCTGGCCTTCAGGTGCCTTGGAAAATAGCTTGACCCCTTCCTTTCTGTGGCGGTTCCTCAAATATTGGAACACTGCTATCATGTCTCTCTCGGTCCTTCTCTTCACTAGACTAGCCGTGCCCTATTTGTGTAAGAAAGAGCTACCATGTGAGGAGTTGAAAGGAATTCTCTGGATGGATTATAATCATTGCTCTTTGGGAAAACAGGTTCATTTTAAATAAAACATAATCCTTCAGCATTGAGTGAAATGTTCTGACCCTTCCTTTCTTTTTGTTGACAGAGAAAAAATATACTGTTGTTGTTCCTCCTTTTCTTTCCCTCTCTCCAGTTCTTACTTGCAGGACATGCTGGAAGACACATCTGGGGCTTCATCAAAAAAGGAAAAGGCTTCCTTATTATGGAATAAAGTTCAAATAATTTATATATATTCAAATGTAAGATGGGATTACAAGACCAGTGCTTAATTATATTTTGTATTGTTTTTACTAGCTTAAAGCGGAAATGTCTGGGATTGTTAGCGAACTTGTCCAGAATTATAATCCTTATGATGAAACCAACAGGACCCTTGAAAATGCTTGGGACTATGTCCAGTTACAAGTAAGTTGCTATGTAAGAGTTAATGAGACTGTTAGTGATATTGTCAATAATACATATGGTAAGCTTTTTCTTCAATGAGAATAGTAACATCAACAGTGAACTTCATCTAATTTAATCATACTGATTAAAACATATTGATGTTTGAAGATTGGTTACATGCAGAAGTACATGGGTAGAGAACCTTATGAGCCACACACAAGTTCTATACAGTATATGAGGAAAAAGTTGCTTTCATATAGTGGGTCATATCATTAATATACTGTCTTTTTGTTTTCCTCTGGTATTGTTCTCAAGATGCACAGTACAGAGGTATAAACAAGAGATCTTGTTGAGGTACTTATTTGTTAAAATGTCTTTGCGCCAAACAGTGCTCGTGATATGAAGTTCTACTGCATCCAAGGAAGTTATTCGATCAGTCACTGCAATCCCAACCTATCTTTTCTCTAAAGCAGTGTTTTTCAAACTTGACCTCTTTAAGATATATGAAC